TAACTGCGGTTACTGAAACCACCCCTTTCTTTCTTTGCGTGCACATTTGGGCGGCATTATGCAAATATTTCCACATAGTGAGGTAGATATGTGGGGGCGTGTTAGAACCAGCCGTTTTAGGGGGACGTTGCAGAGTCTTAACTTTGATAAAGAATATCTCTTTGGTTTTGAGACTTTAGTCTTTGCAACTTCAGGGATCTTATCTATGCACAGTCAGCTTGTAACACTCCAAAGAGAAAGGAAAACTTGAAATCGCATCATATGACCCCTTTAATATTTTTTTAATAAATTATGACTGTAGCTGTATCTGCCTGTTATATCTTGTGTTTTATTGACAAATGGTAGGTTTAGGGACAGGGGTTGGGTTATGTGCCTAATGTGTAAATAATGTAATGTAAATAAAACTGTTTACATTGAAAAATCACACCCCAACATATATGTAATAATGGCAATATTATTACCCAATATATAATTTAATCATGACGATAAAATTCCCAGTGCCTTTCGCGTCGGCATACTGATGCCAAGGCTTTCTTATTTAAAGCAATGGAGGACCCTGCACATCGAAAAATTATGCTAAAGAGGTACCCTATGTGTCAAAAAGTGACGCCAAAGGGTCCTGACCAAGCGTCAATATGAGACGAGTTGGGAGTGAGAATGTGTTGGTAAATTAGCCCTGTGATGGACTGGCCATCTGCCAAGGATGTTTCCCTGATTTCAGTCCAAGATGCTGGGAGGTACTCCAGCACTTCTACAACCCTACATACGAGAAAATTGTATAGAGAATGGATGCATAGATGGATGGATAATTAGATTTTTTTTTTCCTCTCATAAATTCTGGGCATGATCAACAGTTTCCTAAAATGTTAATACATTTGGAATATGTATTATATTCCAATATATAGTATATATAATACCCCCACAGGGCTTGAATGCATATGATTCTTTGAAGATCATAGCAACAGAGACAGGATTGACCTGACAGGAGACAATTGAAGAACAAAGAATTTATAGCTCCATTAATAATTTCCTCATGCCCCTGGTCAGAACCTCAAGGCTTCAGCTCAGTTTCTCAGGACTAAAATGACAGAGGATGTACAAATTGGCATCTTACTACACAACACTAAATAGGAGAACTCTTACTTCTAGTCGATGACGATGGAGAAATGAAACGTGGTCTCACAGGAGAGAGAGTTCAAGGGATATGATGACATGGATGCTTACATGGTGCATTCTGGGCAGCGCCAAGCATCATCAGCCAATGAATTTGCATGATTCTATAAAGACTTCAGGCAGTTGTCACAACTGAAATGTATTTCCATAGCATCAGATGCTGTTTCACGGTCAAGTGAAACCTAGTAGTTAGGGGGCAGTTGTGGCCTAACGGTTAGAAAGTCTTGTAACCAAAATGTTTTGAGTCTCAGGGATATGTAGGGACCCCCACGGTAGTGGTATGTCCATGGTGTGCGTGTGTGCGTGTGCGTGTGCGCACTAGGATGGGTTAAATGCAGAGCACAATTTTTAATGCTTTACATGTGGCCATGTGTGCTCTGTATGTTTCAAATAAGGTTCTTAACTCTAGCATAGTGTAGTCAGAGCCACTTCTATGAGATGCAGTTCTGGCCAGTGGGTTGAGTGGGGTCCCCCCCCCAAAAAAAATTATTATTATTATTATTATTTTCAGAATTAAACAGATTCATTCTCATGGTCTCATACATTTGGCTCTGTCTTTATTGCAGTTCAGTTATATCATGATGCATCGAATCATGATATACTGTATGTATTAACAATGTTTTTGCGTTGTTAGGTAGTTTGTGACACTTGGCCCTGGTAGAAGTAATACAGCAAGACTGCTCACCAGTTTTTGTAACATAACCACTTAGAATAAGTTATCTATGATTACTTCATCTGGAAATCTGTCTTTGCATATATAGGTAAGTCTGGATTCACATGCACGTGAAGTGATCAACAGGAACATGCTGGAACCCTCATCATGCACGTTTGATGAGGCACAACAGCAGATCTACAAGCTCATGCAGCGAGACTCCTACCCACGATATATGAACTCCAGCATGTACGCAGACCTCATACAGAGCCTTGAACAAGTCAATGAGTCTTAACATACATATATGAATGTACACAAGACCTAGACTTTAGACACATGCATATTACACTTCCCTGAAGACCAGATAGATCCCTTTGGCCCCGTTTACACTTACCATCCATCCCAAGTGATCAGGTCAGCCAAGACAGACTGGCATAGACATCTGGTATTTACACACATATCAACTGCATCTCCTGTGACCACTTGTTATTGTATTTTGTTGACAGAGTGCCCTCTGATTTTTTTTATTATTTTTTATTTTATATTTTTAGTAAAATGGCTGGAATAACATATGGCTTTTACAAATGTTATGTATGTATGTATTTATTTATGTATTTATTTATTTCCAGTCACATACATTTTGGGCCCTATGTACACTTGTGCACTAGTTCTATTTTTATTTCAAAAACAATATATTTTATTAATTCTGTCAGTGCATGGATAAGCACTTAAAATAGCAGAGCCGTAATTGTGCCTTGCCTCACATATTAGGATAGGCTAGAAAATGATACTGCTCAAACAAGTGTCAGTGGAAACTGGTGCTGTCAAGTAGTTTCAGTCTAGATTGTTTACAATTTAAATGTGAAATAATAAAAATAGATCTTACACATATACACCCCAAAAAAGACTGATATTGAGGTAAAAATATCAACTCAATCCAGCTCTGTGGTGGCATCTGTTTATGATTTAATTCAATATTTGCATTTAATGTACAAATAGAGATATATAACAATAAAGTGCAAAGCAAAAAAAAATACAAACAAAACCTGTGTCCCAGTAATCTAGTTTACAGTCCTTAATTTGAAAATACTGTAAGCTGCATGAACAAAATAGATTCAGTAATATCTGGAAAAGGGAGCAAATTTTTCGTAATTTTAACACTAAGGAAAATTTTGAATTTAAGAGATTTACTCATAAAAATGTTAAAATGATTGAACAATGCTGACATTCAGACGTGATTTTGGTGGTAGAAAAAACTTTTCCCCTTCAAAATAATTCTCAGATTGGTTTGTAAAATGTCTGTTGATGAGTTTGTCTACATTACCGTCTATATCATTAATAAAGTAGGCTTTTGGGTTCATTTTTGAAACAACATCTCATCTCAAAGTACAGGGTTCATACACATTTTTATCAATAAATTTCCATGATTTTCCATGACTTTTGAGACAATATTCATGACCTAAGGCTGATGATAACACTGGGCATCTTTTTGAGCAATTTTGCCAGGCTGCTTTTTTGAGCAATGTTGCTTGGGCACTTTCTCACTGAGAATGGGTAACAAATTTATATCTGGATACTTTAAATTGGTCGTAGGCCCTGTGTCTCACCTGGTTGCCCATTGATGCCAACATTAACCAAAGTTGCCCAGCAATATTGCTCAAAAAGTTGCCCCGTGTATCGTCAGCCTAATGTTCCATTATTTTACAATAAGAATACAAATCTGTTCAAATTTATCATAGCAAATGTTAACTAAAATAAATGACAATTAATGCTACTTGTTTGCTTTCTATTTGTGTTAAGTATAAGCTGCAGCTGCAACTGCAACATTCTCCTACAGGTTCTCACGGATACATTGAGTAAAGGCCTGGAGCCAGACGTTCTGCCACGTCTGGCTGCCAAGGGTGATGGAGGAGCTCAACAGGGTCTGCAATATGGAACTCTCTGGAGCAAGTATCACAATTTGTGACATAGCAAGCCGACACTAAGCCCGGGCCTCTCGCCGTTTGTGCCCATTTTAGGCGAGAACACAGGAGGATACCGGCTCAACACGAAGGCTATAGAATCTAGCGAATGTGTTGGGGGTTGCCCAGCCCGCAACTCTACAAATGTCCATTAGTGAGGCACCATGTGTCAGTGCCAGGGGGATGCAACACTCCTGGTGAGTGAGTTCGCAACCTGAGCAGGCAGGGCACGCCTTGTGCTTGATAGACCAAGGCTATTGGCATCCACTATCCAGTGGGCCATCCTCTGCTTGGAGACGACATTCCCCTTCTGCCGGCCTCTGTAACAGACAAAGAGCTGCTCTGAGGTCCTGAAGTTATGTGGTCAAAACCACATACAATCTTAAAGCACAGACAGGACAGAGCAAAGATAGAGCTGGGTCTGCCTCCTCCGGGGGCAGTGCTTGCAGGTTCACTACCTTATCCCTGAAGGGGGTAGTAGGAATCTTAAAGCCCATGGCCAGGCTGGGGCCTGCTGAAGTGCTCTGAGCACCAGACTCAGGTCCCAAGAGGGTATAGAGGGAGGTCGAGGAGGGTTCGAGGAGTGTCTCACTGACATTAGGAGTAACTTCTTAAAGTGCAAGAAGTCTCACTGGGAGAAATGCAAACTTGCACAGGCCCCGCAGCCAGCTGTGAGCAAGTGCATCCGTGCCTTGTAATGAATTCAAGCAGTTCAACAATGACTGAGCACGTTCCTCTGTGAGGCATGCCATCCGTTCGACCGAATCCAACTCCATACTGAGAAAAGAGATCCTCTGTGTTGGGGAGAGTTTGCTCTTTTCCCAGTTGACCCAAAGACCCAACTGGATGAGGTGCCTTTGCACCAGGTCCCTGTGCTCACACAACTGATCCCGAGACCTGTGCTAGTATGAGCCAGTAGTCTAGATAGTTGAGGATGTGAACACCTTGCTCTCTCAGTCGAACAAGAGTCCTCTCCCCAACTTTCATGAAGACAGGGGGGAACAGGGTTTGTGGAGGTGGGAGGGAATCATTTATAAAGAGTTTAGATATATGGGAGACCAGGGCTGTTTAACACAATTTTTACATAAATTATTTATCAGTGGAGATATCTTTTGAAAGGATGATTGTTTATTTATATGCAGTTTATTTAATTATTCGTATGAATACTCTTTGCTAGTTTTGACAAACAATAGTTTTTGAACAGTTCCACTGATATTGCCCAGGAAAAGATGCACGTCACAAAACACATTTACTTTATTCACTATTTGTAGAGATATTGCAAGAGAAACCACTTCTCTTCCTACACCAGTAAAGGACTAAGTCTTATTTTCTGTGAAATAATATAGAAATAAGAATGAAGTCGGGGAGAGAGGATGCCTTCAAATTATAAATTATACATAGATATGTTCTTTAATGGCTAGATATTTTGTGTTCAATAATATTAAGACTATTTTGAGGCTGTTTTGTGAAACTTCCCTGGCTCACACCCCTCCCTCCGCCTGAGAACACAGCAAAAAGTTTAAATGCTGGTCATCAACATATAAAAGGTCTGACAGCCATCAGTCATCACAACCAGCAGTGTTTCAGCCATGTATGTCTGTGAAATTTCACAGATTCTTTTATATATCCGTGCACCCCAAGTATCTTGGGTATTTCTGGAAATGTATTGTTCTGTGTGATTTGGCTCAGGATTTTTCCACATACATCCGGCAAACCTGAAATTAAACGGTTTACCATGGCCACATATTAGCAGATTTTACTCTTTTCATGCAGTGTGACACCTCACACAGTAAAATCTGACCCCATCTTAACTCTTCTAACCCAACTGATATGGAAATCATTTAAGATTGTGAATACAGTGTTGAGGAAAGTGTTAAAAGATGATGACTCATTTTAATAATGATGCTGCTTTTATAAAAAAAAAAAAAACGGTGCTGATTTTAATGATGAATGGGTTTTACACCAGTGTGATTGTGATCAGCTTCATGCTAAAGTACTTTCTGTTAAAAACATTGTTTTAAAACTGGAGAAGGATTTTGAAGACTCAGTCGAAAGTCATTTTAACTGTGAAATGTATTTTAGAGAGGCTGTTGATGTAAAATTCAGTAAAATTGTGGCGACACTAGAGAAAGAGGTTGCTCTCAGAGGAGAGATAAATGGTGGGAGAAACAACTGACAGAAAAGAGAACTCCAGCAGCCACTGTCTTCCCTCCTACAGAGTCATCCAGCCATGTGCCTTCCACCATCCGCTCCTCTTTTTCTCCTAATCACAGCCCTATGATCTTAACATCTTCACAGACCAACAGCAGAGCAAAGGAAAAAAAATTAGTTGTGCAAAGACATCATCTGGGCCAGATGTCGCTTACATCTCTACACTTCCCTTTTCCAGTGGGAAAATGAAGAAGTTAACAATGCACAGCAGGATGATGTTACACTTACCATTTTCCCTTCCACACACCAGACTGAGAGGATGACAACGATAAACCACCAGGGTGTGCTGTACCAACAGATCCAGAGTGAGGACGTCCAGCACTGACTGCAGCTTGTTGTTCTGAAGGTCTTGATCCAACAAACATTACAGACCCTCCACAAAAAGACAATGGAGAGACACCATAGTCAGCTGAAAACTCTCAGCATCCTGGAGGTCGCCTGGAGGCCAACAATCTGGAAAGAAAAAAAACATATCTTCACTCTGTATCATCACCAACATCAAACATCAAGCCAGGATATTTTTGTATAAGAAAAACCTGACCAGAGACAGAACTGATAAAATTAGACCTGAGTCCGACCCGAGGACATGTATTCTCAATCCCAACTGAACCCGAACATAAACTGCATTGACATGTGCACAGTCTGCAGCCCCTGCAGTCAATAAGGAAATATCCTGGTGTCCTGCTGACTGATTTGGCTGCTTCTCTATTACTTTAATTTATTTATTTACTTTTATATTATTGCCTGCCTGATAGAAGTTATTTCTGAGTTTGGCTTTCAACTGTGACCAGTGGATTGGAAAAAATAAATGTGATAGCATGATAAAAATGATAGCATGGATAGCCTAATAAATCATGTATTTGCTAGTGTTGTCCGCAACACCATTTAGGGCTTCTGCACACAAAAAAAGAAAAGCCCTGCATGAACACAAAGCGTAATGAAGCGAGTGGCTTTTCCTGGTGGATCTCGTATCTTTGTTCCTTTTCCACACGCATTTCTCAAATATGCACTTAACACGAACGTGCAAGTACATGCTGAAGTACTGAAATGTTAATCACTCATCACTCAGTGGCCTAGCCTCATTACATCCTATAAATTTCGGTATAATGTTATTTACTTGACCATAAGATGAGTAAAGTTTATTTTTCTAAATATTCAAGGTAATTATCTAAATAATTAAATATAATTTCATTATATGTAGCTTTTTGGAAATTCACAATCAAGTGGTGCATTTTTTTTTATCCTCAAACCCAAAGTGAAAATGATGACAAATGGAAGGAGCTGGGATGAATTTAGAAGTCAGAAGCAAAAGGAACAATGATATCACTTTCCCAA